ACTTTCAATATCTGGACATAGGGCAATAAGAGAAAAAAGGTAGAGAAGGAGACTTATGAAGGAAAAAGTGGGAAAAATAGAAAAAGAAAAACAAGGAATGGGATTAACCATGAGAATAAAGGAAAAAGAAAAAAAAAACTGCAACTAGGAACAGGGAAAAAACAAAATAGCTGAAAACTAGGACTTGGGAAGGAAAGAATAATAGTAAGAAGGACAAAAGTATTATTAATAATAATAGTTTTAAAACAGACAAAAACAAGGAAACTAAAAAATAGATAAAAGAGAAAGAAAGAAAAAAAATCAGGGAAGGGCAGGGTAGGGCACCCAAGCTCCGTCTGAACACATAGACCGGGATGGAGTTCCTGTGGGCCCAGAAGGTGTGTGGGAATGGAGGATGGCCGCACCTCCATTCACCAAGTGGGTGTGGAGTATAAGAGTAAGAAAGGAAATGTCATACCTTTCCAGCTATCCAGGTCCAGAGTGTCGTTGGGGTTGCTGGCAAGCAGAAATTGTTCTTAAGCCCCTGGAATCTGCGAGAGTGCTATCTCTTTAAATATCCAAAATGGTCAAGCTGCTTGTAAACATTCAAAATGGCAGTGCCCTCCAGACAGGCTAAAGTCCACAGCTCAGCCCGCCTTCCTCTTTGCTGCTGCTTTGCCTTTTATTCCCTAGCCATCAGAGCAGTCCTCCATGCAGTCCCTGGCTAGCAGGGCTGATTTTTAGGTTAATTCTTAGGTCCTACCACCACTTGGCAATCTCCAAGCTGTCTGTGCCATCAGGATTGCTCAGGATCGCTCCCAGACAAAAGGTCTGTATGTCTCCTTTTTTGGTATTTTCACGCATATTCTCCTGCTAGGTGGTGATTAGTCCACTTCAATATCCTTCCCTTCAAGGCTTAGGGGTCCAGGGTTATCATCTGTGTCTGTGTTAATTGGTTCCCCTTTTCTTTGTTGAAAAAGGTCTGTGCAGTCTTTCTACCTATTCTGCCATCTCTTACCAGGACTCCCTGATCCCATATAGTTCTTAAAAAGAACATAATGCTCAAAGCAAATATTTTTTACTAGTTAAGCTAAACTATTGTTTCATTTTAAGAAGACATGGGGAGGTGTTTTTTACCTAAGTTGTAAAGATTATCTCAGGGCAGTAGTTTTTCAGAGATTCATCTAGCCCGCTTGGCCCCAAAAAGTTTAGAGTCTATGAATATTTGAAGTTCTCTTCTGCATTTCCCCCCTAATTGATTAGGATTCCTCTATAGAATCTTGATAAATATAATTAATTAATAAATAAATAAATAA